GAACTTTTATATTTTTTTATTAAAAAATATTATTTCTATTTTAAAGATTAACGTATCCTTGTGTGGCAGCAATAATCTGTTCATACATTGTCATGGTGAAACACACCTATTCTATAGTTAACAGACTCTCCCACCTAATATAAGTAGGAGTAGTAAGAGAAACGAGGGTCAGTCGATGTTGGACGACGGTAGTCGACAGTTAGTCGAATACGAAAGTAGTCAGCGACCACAACAAGATTACTCTGCGTAATACCTATTATATCAAGTTCCTAACGTTTTGTACGTCGAACCTATTTAGTACAAATACAAGCCTCAACTGTGAAATAACTCCACATCACACACACACACACATACACACACACACACACACACACATATATATATATATATATATATATATATATATATATATATATATATATATATATATATATGGTGGTGATAATAATATACGTTTTTCTATAACAAGAACAATATCGGGGAAAGTATGTGACGAAAGTTTACTTGTGACGGATTTCATCCTTCAGGACTTCCTCGGACAAAATTTGTTATGTTGATACGTATACACATGCGCACGAACGAAGGATGCAGGGGATTTTTTTAATTATTTTTTTTCCCTTTTATTATTTTTTTTATCTAACCGATTTCATTTTGTGTCTTCCTCTTTTTCTTTCCATTAAATTTGTTTGTAGATATCCCATCCCATGATGATAGAAATGAAATCGGCTAGAAAAAAAATTGTAAAAACTTTTAAAATTCCCACCATACCTCGTTCGTGCGCATGTAGTTGTACCAACATAATCTGAAAGACGAAATGTGTCACATGCATACTTTTCCCACTTTGTCATACATTTTCCATTCCCCCCATATATATATATATATATATTGAACAGTAAAAAATATTGAAATATTAAAATTTTCAATTTTCAGACACACTGAGTTGTGTATTAATATTTTTGGGTTTTATTATTTCAGTTAGATTCCTCGACTAGTTTCGGCCAACAAGGCTATCATTAGGAGAAAAAAATCTCTGCTTGTTAGTAGCAGTGAACTACAGGAATTAATGACTTTCTGAAGAAATTGAACTTCATCTGTAGTTTTCATTCGTTTTTTTTATCGTTAATTTTGGTCAGACCTTGTGTTGGTAAAACGGCCTCTTTTAAATTGTTTCTTAAGAATTTGCTTTTCATAATCGATTATTAAATTACTTTTCCTAATCGATTATGAAATTGTAAAGTTTACTTGGTGCTGGTATGTTTGGTGACGGCCTTGGTCCCCACAGAATGTTCGGCCAATTTTCCTGGCAAAAGAAGACAGACAGTGGTCTGCACTTCCCGGCTGGAAGTTTCTTGTAGTTAGTCAGGCGACTACCTTCGGCGGTAATTATGCATACGTACATATATATATATATATATATATATATATATATATATATATATATATATATATTTGTGTGTGTGTGTGTGTATATATATTGCTACATGATAAATTACTTGCGTGTGTTGCATGTAATTTAAAGTGGTAACGCAAGAACCAACACCTGTTGTTAATCACGATTTCATTTAGATTAAAGTAGGCTTAAATTAGTATTTCATCATCATGGCTTGGCAAACCAAAATTTATGAGGATTTTCGACGATTGTTACAAGCCCTCCCGTGTCTTGCAGGAGACATGCAGTCTAGCATTCAGACCTGCGCTTGTGATGTTTTAAGCCGGAGAACGGCGTGCGTATGAGCGTCTCCAGTCTTTAAAGCAAAGGTTTGCATGATTCGGCTCAACTCCTTGGGTATCATATATAAAAACGTTCCTTTGGTTTCTGGATATGAGTGTTGCGTTTCTCTGCCTATGATCACAGTGTAGTATTTACGCTATAACAGACCTTGCGAGTTTCAATCACAAACGCCGTCCGCGCCCGAACATTAAGCTGTAAGAGAATTAAGAAGATCGAAGGAAAGGAGAAACAAAATAAGGAGTGAGTAACCCAAGTTGAACGTAAGAAAGGAAAAAAAAAGCGGAAAGAACATCAGATTTGTATATATATATATATATATATATATATATATATATATATATATATATATATATATATATATATATATATATATAAAAAACTTGGTAGTTTATATATATACAAACTTGGCAACGGATCATAATACAAAAGATATATTGTTAAATATAACAGAAAACGAATGATTATAAGAACCCTATGAGTTAGGGTCTTAATCAGATTTATATATATATATATATATATATATATATATATATATATATAATTTACATCTTAACTCACTCGATACTTTCAATTTTTTCAATTGTCTATTGAGCACTTAACCATTTAATGGATGTCTGTTATATCCTGTTAACTCCCCTCTCCAAGTTCTCCACTGCCTTAACCGGGTATTGAACTTTGGGTCCTGTCACTGGTTCTAACTAACGCCTTTATCCCCTGTGCCTGTGTCCTTGAGGACATCTGTGCATGAATTTCTGGGTATTATAAACCTAATGTCTTCAGCCCTACTATTTTTACCAGTGCTCATATTGCAATTTTTGCTGTTATCAATACATGTTTTTACCAGAGCTCATGTTGCAATTTTTGTTGATATGGCGACAAAGATGAGGGCAATAGTTCGAGTAATGTAAATAGTGTACATAATACTTCATCTCAGAAGTATAGAGTGTAAAGTTCGTCTGTAAAGATAATTATTAGCCACCTGGATTAAGTCAAGAGAGAGATGATCTGCTAGGTTCTGGTCTCCCAGATTTGCAAATGTGCCCCTATAAACTGTTGTGTCATCTGCATATATGCTTGCTAATGATCATAGTATGCCCTTAATATACAGCAGGAAGAAGGTAGGACCCTGTGAGATGCTGACATTAATCTTAAGGACTTCTTATGACTGGTCGTTAACAACGACCTTTAGGGACCTTTCTCTTAGGAAGGATAAACCATATCATTACATCATAATAGCCTTCTTTTAATCATTTGATTTATGTCATTAAATATTAAACTTTCATATCACTCTATATTTTTCAGTTTATTTATGTTTAATTCAGTCACCAGTCTTTTTTTCTTAGGTAGACGTTATTGTTAAAAAATTAAACACCTTAAATTATTGTTGTGTAACGCTCAAAAATTGAAACAAAAAAAAAAAAAATTCAAAATCAGAAAAAAAAATGTCTGTTGACTGTTGAAGTTTTAGAGACACATTATGAGGAAAGAGGGATCAGAAAATTTGACACTCATAGGGGATATTGAAGTCAAAATTATAGAGGAAATCATCGCATAACCTGTCTAACGAGTAGTACATGGTTGGCAGAACAGAGATTAGGAGAGATACTAATAAAATCTTTACCAAGAGCTACGACAATAGGAAATTGTGGAGAGCAATGATCGCCTATTTTCTAAATGGATATGCCAAAAAGAAGAGAAAGAAATTTCATTAGATTTATTGCATTCGTCTGTTACTTTTTTTAAAAAAATTATCTGGTTTTATCAGTCAAGGTTATCATGTCCCTTTAGGATGTAAGCGATTATGATTCTGGAATTGTTTTATTATTATTATTATTATTATTATTATTATTATTATTATCGGTCGACTGCCACCCTTCTTGGGGAGATATTGGAATGATTTCCCGTTTTCTAGTCCATATTCTTGAATTCATTGTCAGTAAGACTAGACTCCATGATTTGGATTTCAGAGTTTTTCTTATCTTAGACTGGTTCCAATTCTAAGACCAAAAGCCTAGTCTGCCAACCTATTGAACCAATTTACTGTGTCACTGTATCGTTTCCTATTTTATTTACACTTCACTCCAGTCTATCGTTCTTAAATCGAAATGGTTCAATATTATTTTGCAGGCTTTAATGATGCTATTTTGGTTCATTATATTTATTACTTTTATCTGGTTCTATTTCTAAGGGGTTGTTAGATTCCATCAAGACATAGGCGGCCCTGACTGTCTACAGGATCCCTGTTTATTATTATCTATGGTTTGCTATGCTTGCTTGAGACGTCGTTGACCATAGTTTTCTACACTGTTTAGAATACAGATTTTGTTTCTTCTCTTATACTGTTTGACAGCCAAAGATAAGAGGATCAATCTACTTAATTATTAACCCAGAGATGGCCCCTGGGGTGGGGGGATGGTTGTGGAAAAAAGATGGATTCATGCCTTTCCTAAAGATATTTGTGCGAAATTGAAATCAGCTCGTCGCTTCTAAAGTCCGTACGGATAGCAGTTTTGCTAGCGGCACGGTTATCGGGTTTACAACGTTTATCTTAGTCCTTTGTACTTTAACGATTTTCATTATTTTATTTATTTTATTCTTTCTGTCGACGCGATATTCACGAGGGCTCCTCCTGATTGTTCTACAGAGTTCATTATAGCATATAGTCGTCAACTGTCATCCATATCTTCATTGCCACCTTATTAATGATTTACTCGTCTTCTTCTTTTCGACAGCCAGCAGATAAACTAATTAGAGTGAATTCCCAATGTGCCTTAGGCATCAATTAGAGAGAGAATTCCTGCAGCTATCCTAATAAATCCGCCTCCCCCGACAAAACTCCATTGCGCGATTTTCCATATTGTTTCACCAAATCAAAACGAAGGGTTGTCTTCTTGATTTCAATTCGGCTTTGCTGTATCAAAGACACACAATTCCTTTCAAGAAATCCTCCGGGCAATGCTCACAGCACAAAGTTTTATTCCCGGAATTTGGTTATTTCTATGCTTTACTAATTACAAAAATGGAAAAAGTGAAGTTTGTCACGATAATTTAGTTAAATGTTGCGATTTACTGGAGCGATATTTTGATTCTGCCATACACTTATTTTACTGCTGAACTCTGTGGCTTTGGTAAAAGTTCATTCTGGGTCTTATTTGCCAGTTCTCGCCATTGTTGTTGCGACAGATTTATCTATTGCAATGCAGCTTTTGAAGTTTTACAGTGCGTTTGCGTTGCTTGTGCTTTGTGAACTGATCACAGAGATGGGTGTTTAATCTCGTAAAATTGACTCGGGTTTCAAGAGAAGAAAAAACGACGACAGCCATTTACGTAAAAAGAAAGTAATTAAAAAAAAGAAAGAAAGAAAATATATTTCGTGAAAGAAAAAGAAAATATATATTTCGTGAAAGAAAAAGAAAAATTTATTTCGTAAAAGAAAGAAAAGAAGAAAGAAAGAAAAAATATGTTTATGAAAGATTGAAAGAAATAAAAAATAAAGAAACTGAAGAAAGAAAATATATTGCCTGAAAGAAAGAATAATATAATTCGCAAAAGAATGAAAGAAAGAAAAAATATGTTTCTTGAAAGAAAGAAAGAAAAAAGAAAGAAACTATATTTCGGGAAAGAAAAAGAAAAATATATTCCGTGAAAGAAAGAAAACATATTTCGTAAAAGAATGAAAGAAAGAAAGAAAGAAAAGAAGAAAGAAAGAAAAATATGCTTTATGAAAGATTGAAAGAAATAAAAAATAAAGAAAATGAAGAAAGAAAATATATTTCGTGAAAGAAAGAATAATATATTTCGCAAAAGAATAAAAGAAAGAAAAAATATGTTTCTTGAAAGAAAGAAAAATTTTGTTTCTTGAAAGAAAGAAACAAAGAAAGAAAATATATTTCGTGAAAGAAAGAAAAACATATTTCGTGAAAGAAAGAAAATTATATTTGGTAAAAGAAAGAAAGAAAGAAAGAAAGAAAGAAAGAAAGAAAGAAAGAAAGAAAGAAAAATATGCTTCATGAAAGATTGAAAGAAATAAAAAATAAAGAAAATGAAGAAAGAAAATATATTGCCTGAAAGAAAGAATAATATATTTCGCAAAAGAATAAAAGAAAGAAAAAATATGTTTCTTGAAAGTAAGAAAAATTTTGTTTCTTGAAAGAAACAAACAAAGAAAGAAACTATATTTCGCGAAAGAAAAAGAAAAATATATTTCGTGAAAGAAAGAAAACATATTTCGTAAAAGAATGAAAGAAAGAAAGAAAGAAAAGAAGAAAGAAAGAAAAATATGCTTTATGAAAGATTGAAAGAAATAAAAAAGAAAGAAAATGAAGAAATAAAATTTATTTCGTGAAAGAAAGAATAATATATTTCGCAAAAGAATAAAAGAAAGAAAAAATATGTTTCTTGAAAGAGAGAAAAATTTTGTTTCTTGAAAGAAAGAAACAAAGAAAGAAAATATATTTCGTGAAAGAAAGAAAAACATATTTCGTGAAAGAAAGAAAATTATATTTGGTAAAAGAAAGAAATAAAGAAAGAAAGAAAGAAAGAAAGAAAGAAAGAAAGAAAAATATGCTTCATGAAAGATTGAAAGAAATAAAAAAGAAAGAAAATGAAGAAATAAAGTATATTTCGTAAAAGAAAGAATAATATATTTCGCAAAAGAATAAAAGAAAGAAAAAATATCTTTCTTGAAAGAAAGAAAGAAAAAAGAAAGAAACTATATTTCGCGAAAGAAAAAGAAAAATATATTTCGTGAAAGAAAGAAAACATATTTCGTAAAAGAATGAAAGAAAGAAAGAAAGAAAAGAAGAAAGAAAGAAAAATATGCTTTATGAAAGATTGAAAGAAATAAAAAAGAAAGAAAATAAAGAAATAAAATATATTTCGTGAAAGAAAGAATAATATATTTCGCAAAAGAATAAAAGAAAGAAAAAATATGTTTCTTGAAAGAAAGAAAAATTTTGTTTCTTGAAAGAAAGAAACAAAGAAAGAAAATATATTTCGTGAAAGAAAGGAAAACATATTTCGTGAAAGAAAGAAAATTATATTTGGCAAAAGAAAGAAAGAAAGAAAGAAAGAAAGAAAGAAAAAATATGCTTCATGAAAGATTGAAAGAAATAAAAAAGAAAGAAATTGAAGAAATAAAGTATATTTCGTGAAAGAAAAAATAATATATTTCGCAAAAGAATAAAAGAAAGAAAAAATATGTTTCTTGAAAGAAAGAAAGAAAAAAGAAAGAAACTATATTTCGCGAAAGAAAAAGAAAAATATATTTCGTGAAAGAAAGAAAACATATTTCGTAAAAGAATGAAAGAAAGAAAAGAAGAAAGAAAGAAAAATATGCTTTATGAAAGATTGAAAGAAATAAAAATGAAAGAAAATGAAGAAAATATATTTTATGAAAGAAAGAATAATATATTTCGCAAAACAATAAAAGAAAGAAAAAATATGTTTCTTGAAAGAAAGAAAAATTTTGTTTCTTGAAAGAAAGAAACAAAGAAAGAAAATATATTTCGTGAAAGAAAGAAAAACATATTTCGTGAAAGAAAGAAAATTATATTTGGTAAAAGAAAGAAAAAAAAAAAAGAAAAAAGAAAATATGCTTCATGAAAGATTGAAAGAAATAAAAAAGAAAGAAAATGAAGAAATAAAGTATATTTCGTGAAAGAAAGAATAATATATTTCGCAAAAGAATAAAAGAAAGAAAAAATATGTTTCTTGAAAGAAAGAAAGAAAAAAGAAAGAAACTATATTTCGCGAAAGAAAAAGAAAAATATATTTCGTGAAAGAAAGAAAACATATTTCGTAAAAGAATGAAAGAAAGAAAGAAAGAAAAGAAGAAAGAAAGAAAAATATGCTTTATGAAAGATTGAAAGAAATAAAAAAGAAAGAAAATGAAGAAAGAAAATATATTTTGTGAAAGAAAGAATAATATATTTCGCAAAACAATAAAAGAAAGAAAAAATATGTTTCTTGAAAGAAAGAAAAATTTTGTTTCTTGAAAGAAACAAACAAAGAAAGAAAATATATTTCGTGAAAGAAAGAAAAATATATTTCGTGAAAGAAAGAAAATTATATTTGGTAAAATAAATAAATAAATAAAGAAAGAAAGAAAAATATGCTTTATGAAAGATTGAAAGAAATAAAAAATAAAGAAAATGAAGAAAGAAAATATATTTCGTAAAAGAAAGAATAATATATTTCGCAAAAGAATAAAAGAAAGAAAAAATATGTTTCTTGAAAGAAAGAAAAAATATGTTTCTTGAAAGAAAGAAAAAAAGAAAGAATGAAAAATATATTTCTTGAAAGAAAGATAAGCAGATAATACAAGAACAGGTAAAGAATGATTTTGAGAATGAAAGAAAAGCTATAAATGAAGAAAAAAAGATATTAAGAGAAAGAAGGAGAAAATCAGAATATTTTTAGAGAAAGAAAGTAAGGAATAAATGAAAGGTATTCAGAGAAAGAAAGAATAAACAAAAAATGGAAAAAAAATGAGTGAAATAAAGAAATGCTATTTAGAAGAAGAAAGAAAGCAAATAAAATTAGATGAAAATATAAAGAATAATATTTAGAGAAAGAAAGAAAGAAAAAGGAAGGGTATTCAGAGAAAGAAAGAATAATGAATGGAGAAACAAATAAACGGCATTTAGAAGAAGAAAGCAAGATAAATGTTTAGAGAAAGAAAAAAAAGAAAAGATTTAAAGAAAGAACGAAAGAGAGAAATAAAAAAAAACGAAAGGAAAAACAAAAAAGTAGTTAAAGAAAGAAAAAATGAATGTAAGAAATAATTTTTAAAGAAAGAAAAAAAAGATAGAGAAAGAAAGAAAGAAAAAGAAATAAAGTACATTAGACTCTATACTTGCAGTTAATGTGTTTCGTTTTAATATAAAGCTCAGATGGATTTACGTATATATTCCAATTTTACAATGAAACGAAAAATCTAAACTCAAAACAACCGCATTTTGCGTTTTGCTTTGAACTTCGATTTCTTATTTTTCATTTTCAAATATTCTTACATTAATCACGACCAAATTCATGGAAACCTTTATACGTGGACAATACAGAAAAGAACGAACACTTTGTCAATGCTTTCACGGACTGATAAACTAAGCACTACACAACAGCAGTTTCACTTATTTTTAGCGGGAAGCAACATGCATCATCGAGTTAATATAAAAAAAAGATTGTGAATAGATTCCTTCCACTACAATGTTCTGGTTCAATCAAAAATTGTTCTGTGAGCTTAGCGTTTATTTTCAAATAGCTTTTCGGTTCTTTGCGAGATTAGAATGGATCGATTTCTTTTACACGTTTTAGAACTTCACAATGGCTGCCGACTTGGTAATTAGTGCTTAGCTAATTGTTGAAGTAATTGAAGATTAGTAAATGGTCATTGTCAGATATGACAGATTTGTTTCATCTGGCCTATAGGCCGGTAGATGCCATCATGATGCCAGAAAAAATGATTTGAAATCAGAGCAACGGCAAATGAATTTGTGGCTAAGTTTGAAGGGAAAGCTAAAATGTTCACAACCAGACCAACTTTATGTAATTTGAACAATGAACAAATAGCAGAACTCATCAGACGGGAGTGTATCTTGGTTATACTGATAACTTTTCAACGAACCCTCTCAATCTATCTATATGCATATATATCTACATCTCTCTCTCTCTCTCTCTCTATATATATATATATATATATATATATACACACGCACTCACATACATCTCTCTCTCTCTCTCTATATATATATATATATATATATATATATATATATAGTGATTTTCTAAGCGTAGCTTAGATGTGCAACAAGGCCGAAAGTAGGGAGTACCCAGTAAGGATCGATTTGACTTCTCAGTCGTAATTGTTCTGGCGAGACAAGCTTGCTAATCATTACACCGCCTCTAGGTGCCTATATATATATATATATATATATATATATATATATATATATATAACTTCCAACTTTATTTTTTGGGGGGATAACCTGTGTTTGAAATAGACGTACCCATTACTTTTATTTTAAACAGTGTACATTTCTGTAAAAAAGGGATGTCAGTACAGGCCGGTCGATTTAATACAGTGTTTAAAATGGGGAAAAAAAGTGGTATGTCTATTGCAAACACGGGTAACCACTAAAAATAAATTTGAAGTAAAAAAAAAAAATGTTGGATTAAAAATAAATCTGTTAATTCGCTTTTCCTCTCTCTCTCTCTCTCTCTCTCTCTCTCTCTATATATATATATATATATATATATATATATATATATATATATATATATATATTTTGTGTCTTTAGGCAGCAATACTTCTTTCATGCATATTTCATTCAATACGACAAATGAGGTGCTTTTATTTAGTTTTTTTTTATACATTTTCTCATGCGATCTAATAATCTTTTTCTTTTCAGATTATATAAAAACTGTCCGAATGTTCTTTTTATCCGAGCGCTTTTATGGAGACCAAACGGACACTATTCGTAATATACTTGTTGACAACACTTATATAATAGCATCATCTACATGCAAAAAAAAAAAAAAGGTTGAAAATAATGGAAGTATTATTAATAAAAACAAAAAAAAACAACACTTAATAATATTAACTATGAACATGGACACAATATCTTGACCGTGTTTTGAAAAATGAAAACATTTTTTAAAACATACATGCAACAAACTATTTCTGATTTAACAGTTAAAATATTTAGTCCTTGAAACTGGATAAATGCATAGCCGAAAGCGCTCGGCTAAAAAAGAACATTCAGACAGTTTTTTTATATAATTTATCATCTGAAAAGAAAGAAATTATTAGATTCCATGAGAAATTGTATAAAAAATACTAAACAAAAGCACCGTGTCTGTCGTATTCATATATATATATATATATATATACGGTGAGTGCTGATAGTAATAATGACACATGGCTTCATGCAAAATAACAGTGCTTAAATTTATAATCTTACTTATTATAAAACGCAGATTGTGTGTGTGTGTGTGTGTGTGTGTGTGTGTCTGTTGGTTTATATATGGGATCGTATTTCCTAAATTTTTTCAACCGATTTCAACAAAACTTCACAGGACTACAAATTTACCCGATGATGTTTCTGACAGCGCGCAAAATTGGAAAAACACAATTCTTTTTGCACGAAATCAATTTGAAAGCACGGTTAAGGGTATCGCACCCGACCGGAAGTTATTCCCGGCTACTCAAACGTCCGAATGCCGTTAACTTCCGGTGACTCAGCGTTTTCAGAGAACGATACACAAAAAGTAACACAAATGAAACCTAAACATACACAAGTCCTCCTAACTAAAAATAATAACCGGAAACTACTTTAAATACACATGGTGTCCAAATGAAACCCATGTGTACAGTCAAAATGAGGAAGTTAATTGATAGTCATCAACCAAATGATGTTGCCAACCGGCTACGATGCTAACTGCAGCCGACATAAATACAGCCAATTTCTTCCACCAAGCAACTCCGGGGTAGAGGGACGTGCTCCCCTCTTCCTCTTCCTTCCCCTCTCACCTTCACCTGGGCGCCACTCGTGGAAAATAAACCTCCACATCTCAAGTGTTAATAAAAGCAAAGCATGTCATTTACAAAGATTTCCTATTTGTACTTATCCTATCATTCTCTTGCATTCCTATCTATATTTGATCTTAATTCATATATATATATATATATATATATATATATATATATATATATATATATATATAAAACAGATGCAAACTATGCCTGGAAGAAAAAATTAAAATAATTAAGTACAAAAATATTGTATATAATATTATTTATATATATATATATATAAAAGGCAGGATGTGTGTGTAACGAATGCACGGCCGCAATTTTCCACGGATTTGCACCTAAATTTATGTTAGCGGGAAAGCCAAGACCGACTTTGCATTTCCCAACTCCCATCGATAGTTGAAATAATCGATTTTTTCATGCTTCTATGGCAGTTTTCACGAAGTTTGCGGCCATTTTCTACTGGCCAGAGTGAGAGCCAATAGCTGGCTGCCACGAGTAGGCAGGAAGATTCTATTGGCCAGCATGATAGCCAACAGCTGACTGACACGAATGTTAACTAGCATGCTAGCGTGAAAAAAAATCGATAGCTGTATTCGTCACAAGTGGGAAAAATTTTAAATCTGCATGGCACTTTACTCCAATTGGTTCATTCGCTTGCTTAAACTCAACGTTGATTCTGATTCCGCAGAACTGTGTTGAGTGTATTTGTTGCTAACATTCTTTTTTTTTAATTTGGTTTTTCCAGTCCTTTATTAATGCTGATCGTTTTGTGTTCATTTTGTTTAGTTCTTTTTTCGTAACAGATTTAATGTTTAGTATAGAGCTTAGAAAAAATTTGCAGTGTGAGATAGGCAAGAAGTAAGGCATGTAGTAACATCAGCATGGCAAAGGGCGCTCCTTTAAAGGCAAGGAAGGGCAAAAATATTTTACGTCAAGTGATAGCGATTGCTATATGAGTCGTATGATTTTTGAATCAAGCACGGGCAACGCCGGGACATGGAACAGATGTATATTTATTACTAGCAGAGTAATAAATATACATCTGTTCCTTACCATTTGATCCAAATCTAATTTTGCAGAGTTCATGTTTTTATTGTTTCTTTTGATGTATTTTCGACTGTTTCAGTCATCATCAAGAACTGAATGTTGTCAATATGGAAGACAAGATTTTGATGGCTTCATCCAGACATTCAAATAAACGCGTATCAAATAAGAAAAGACATTTCAAAATCGATCACATAGAATTTTACTTCACTGACAATGATTCTTTATTTTATCCACATATTACATTTTATACATAATTTAAAATACAATCTCTTGTGGTGAAATATATTTGTTTTCATACGGATTGTTTCTTGTCTATATTAAATGTTTCTGCTGCTTTGTGTGTTTTCTTGCAGCGAGTGCTATATAGTATTTTAGTATCTATTATTAATAGTTATCTCATGGTAATAGTTGTATTTTTGTTATTGTAATGTATTGTATATGTATTTTTGTTATTGTAATATAACATTATAATAAGTGACAAGTTAATCTTCGATAAAGCGTGGTACATATGTTGTCAATATATTTAATATTGTAAGCGAGTGATTCAATGTACACTTCTTATATAAACTCGGTTAATACGATAATTTCTGTCATTTGATTCGACTTTATGAAGTCCTAACTAAAAATAAATAAGGATTTTTGAAGGTATGCATTAATATTCACGCATTTATTACTAGATATTTAATACTCTGCGTATATGTGTATATATGCCCGCGTGTTTCAAATAATTTTGCATCGAGCGAACAGATTCTCTCCAGTGCATAATTCTATTTGCGCTTGCTTCAATATGAACAAAACAGGGAAATTCTCAGAGAATGAACCGGAAACCCAATCTGAAACAGGGTACAAGGATAAACCTCTACTCCTGTTCAAAAGGAGTGTGGACCGGTAGTTCTGTCTATGTCTAGAATGTGGCCTCACTATACAAGCCCGTGACCGAAATTCCCTATTGTCTGACCAAGCGGCACTTGATCCCGAAGGTTTTTTTTTATTTATTTATACATTTCAATTGATTTTCCTACTTGGGCAGAGAGGGTAGCTACTTTGAAACTCTCACCTCTCAATTTACTGGCAATCCAATTAGTAATCACAAAACCCCAGTTTTACAAAGTCAAGATAAAATCACTTACAGTCCACTTGATTTTGTGATGCCCTAACAAACCTAACCAGTATCCATTGTGCAAAATATAGTGGAAAAAAATTATTTTCAAAATGATATAGTCTATCGTAGATAAACAAAGAAGATTGCTGGTCTGCGTAAA